ACAGCCTGGGAGGGGATCGTTGGAGCCACTAGGCTCCAGCTTCAGCCTCCGCTTCAGCACACGGAGGAGACTGAGCCCCCATCTCCTTTGGCTTCCACAGAGCCACATGGGCAACTCTCAGGGAGGGTGGGGATCCCTGACTCTGAACTTGCCTCGCTGTGGAGCACATGTTCCTCTCACCCCTCATCCTCCCATCTCTCTTCCATAGCCCCCTTGAGTCTCACAGGTGACTCAGTCACCACCTCCTCCAGAGACTATTCCAGACCACCTCCTTATTAACTCCCATAGAACACATAGAGACTCTACAGCATTCTGGTGAACTCAGCAATGGGCAGGTATGTCGCCACGGGAGCTCCACCTCAGGCGCTTGAGAGCAGGGTCCACATCTTCCACTCTGGTGTTCTCATCAATCCTAGCTGGGGCGTTCGCTAGTTCTTCACTGGGGGCTGCAGGGCACACTGCCCACACCTCATTCAGAAACAAGCACTCACTCTCCTGGCAAACCCTGGCTGAAGAGAACTGCTCAGCCTGAAGCCATACCCCCTTCCTAGGGCTAAGGGACATTGAGGGGAGGGGTGGGGTGGGGGTGGGGGTTGTGGGGGCGGAATAAAGGCCTGGCTGTCACTCCATCTCGGATCAACTCTCAGGAGAACCCCCAACTTCAGAACTCCCTTTAGGGCCAGAACATCCCAGCAAGACTTGATGGAAACTTCACTGCAGTCCTGCCACTGCCCTTCTCCTTCTGTCTATATTGGCCGATCCCCAAAACACCCCAAAAAGATCATCTCCAGCAGGAATCTGGTTCTGAGAGAGAGAGAGAGAGAGCAAAGACCGTATATTCAGCATCTATTCATCACCTCAGTTTACTTATCTCTTAACATAGAGCCAGGGGTGGAGATCGTGGGAGGAGCTGAGGAACCCTCCCTGCACCCCTCAGAGGCGAGGTAAGGTAAGCAACCTTCTGAGGTTCACTAAGGTTAACAGAGGCTATGGAGCAGGATTCAGTCCTGTCATGAATTTGCTCCTCTGCGGGCATGCTAGAGGCAGGGAGCTTTGCGGGGAGGTAGGCAAACGTTGGCAGGTTTACCTTTCAAGCAGCAGGTCTTCAAAAGAGTAGGGGTAGAGCACCAAAGCCATCCTATATTTTGAGGGAATGCATGGAATGTTCATTTATTACATTCATATCATAAAATGTATGATTTTGTCTCAAATCTGTCATCTTTTATTAGCTTCCAAAAATAAACAAGTAGTTTGAGAACATTCCTAAGGAGAAAGACCTCTTAATCGGCTATGTGCTTCTTCTCTTCTCTGGCCCCCTTGAAAAATGAGGGGAAAACACCCACAACTCAACTACAATCATGAATGGAGCTCCTTGAAACAGTCCAGGGAAAGGTAGGGGAGCCTGCAGATGGCTGCTATGGAGGAGCTCTCCTGGGCTGCCAGCTTGTGGTAAGGTCATGGCTACGGATCCTGGAGAGGGAACAATTGATCTCACTGACCTAGCCTCAGAGCAGTGCACAGCAGGCTTCCTGGGTTCCAAAGCAAACCTAGTATGCTAATGAGGTCTTGTGTTAGAAGCCTAGCTAGTGCCCAGATCCAGTGGCCCATGCCTGTAATCCTAGCTACTCAGGAGGCTGAGATCTCAGATGTAGTCCAAAGCCAGCCTGGGCAGGAAAGTCCATGAGACTCTTACCTCCAATTAACCACCAGAAATCTGGAAGTGGTGCTGTGGTTCAAGTGGTAGAGCACTAGCCTTAAGTTGAAGAGCTCAGGGACAGCATCCAGGCCCATAGTTCAAGTCCCATGACCAACATTAAAAAAAAAAAAAGCCCAGCTAGCTCCAAAGACTCTATTCCACGATTCCTTGGAGTATTTGGGTACCTTAGACCATTGTGACCTACAGAGCAGATCACAAGACCACTCCTAGATGCTTTGAAAGAATGAGCTTGTATAAGCATTCTAGTTAGTGGACCTCTCTCTCTCTGTCTCTCTCTCTCTCTCTGGCCGTGTGCTCTCACTCAGCTTTCTTGCTCACCGCCGGCATTCTAGTTTGGTACCTGGCTGGTTAACTGCAGATGGAGTGTCATGAAACTTTCTGCTTGGGCTGTTTTCGAACCACGATCCTGTAGGAATCAACCTCCTAAGATTACAGGCATGAACTACTGGTGCCCAGCTTAGTGGATTCATTTTACAAAAGGAGAAATAAGAACTTTCATGAGGTGAAATAATTTGCTGGAAGGGCCCAGAGCTGGTAAGCAGAGAAGGGATTCATATTCTGCTTGTAATTCAAGAGCCTAAGCTTATAGTGCTTAGTGACTAAGTTCTCTAACAGCCTCTGATGACAGGAAAAAATTGTGAAAGGACCCATTAGAAACACCTGCAGAGTCAGGTTGGTCTGGGACACAATGCCACCTTCCCTGAGGGCAAGAATGCTAGCTTCCACCTTGAGAATGCCTTCCTGGCTGCTAGCAATCAGTTCCAGGTACAACTACATTCACATGCTATATGGAGAGGGCAGCTACTGGACCTCAACTTCAGCCTCTCTGCAGAAAGACAGGAAGGCACAAATCCCTGCAGGTATGCTCAGAAGGGCCACAGGGACATGGAGGGGGGGGGGCGGGCGGGGAATCCAGCTGACCATTTTCCTTCATGTGACAGAAGGTCAGCATCCAAGGTGCTCCTAAGCCATTAAGCCTGATTCTGCTCACCTGGTGTGCTCAGGGGATGAATGCCCTTGGCAGTGTGGTTTAAGTCTAAAATATTAGGAAGGTTAGCACATCTGTACAGTTGTGTGAATTATCAAGGTCAAATCTAAAGGTCTGTCACTTAGCAAGGCCTCTACCGAGGATCATCCACAGAGAGGGCCAGAGTTGGCCTGCAACTTTCCTGCAACCTAGGAAAGGCTGAGGAGGCCTCTGTGTTTGGACACTGAAGTCCTTAAACTATACTCTTGCCTACTTTGTTCTGGGAGTCCTTTTGCCTGGCCATTCCACAAAGGCTTCAAGGGGACCATGAGTGATGGATTGAGCCGTGTTCTGAAATGGGAATGAGGAATGGGCTTGCCACCTAGCACACACTTTGATCCAGTCCTCATCTGCTACTTCTGACCCTAGTGGTCACATTCTGGCTGTCTTCCTTTAGTCTGAGTCTCGACTGATACAGACGCAGCTGCGCCCACCCCTCCACGTGAATCTTCCACGAGTTTCACGATGTGGATGCTCTTTCCTCTTTTTCCTGGCCCCAGTCCTCCAGCTCTCCTCACAGGACATACTTTCCATCCCTTTAATCATCTTTATTGCCTTGCTTTGGACAGCAGCCCAGCCCACATCCTCTGCGAGGTGTGCCGACCTACCCTGGGCATTAGCTACCATGCGCGAGCAAGGCGCAGGGGAAATTGGACTTCCCCATCCTTGTATGGTATGAGGGTTCCTCTTTCTACATTCCTGGGTCATGCTGCTGCCTTCCAGAGGCCTGTCCTTGTCCTGGGGACTTCTTCAGAGCTCAGAAAGGAAGATGTGGGGCTAAGCTGGTTACCACTGCCTGGACAGGGAAGCCTTCGCACTGGGGATTCTCCACGAACACTGGGGGAGGGAGTGCTCCCCCTGACATTTTCTCCGCCCCTTGTGAATCCCACTATTCCTTTAGGGGTGTCCCCTACTTCTTCCCTCTATCAGGAGCCTCGGAAGTAGGAGTTGAAGCCATGTAAGGCTATACACACAATGTAATTATCTGTACCCTGGTACGGCAGGAACAGGCTTGGTCCAATTATCAGCTCAAGTTTCCCTTGTCATGCCTAGTGGTTCCACATGAAGTGCCTGGTGGTTCTGACTGCTAAGCCAGGGCTGCCTGCTTCCCAGCTGCTTGGACATTCACTGTTCTCTGTGAATGTTTTCAGATCTATTAAATCTACTCCTGGATGACAAGCATTCTGGTGGCCATCATAGGTCCAACCTGTGACCACGCCTCTTACTCCTGGCTTGGGGACTGCACGCTTAGGGAGGGATCAGACGGGGTCAACCACACCCCTCAGTCTCCAGGAGATCTCCAGCAGCTTAAGGGCAGGTTTCCCAGCGAGAGATGTCAGTGAGATGTTTCTTGTCTCTTAGAGAATATTCTCTGTTCATTAAAGCTAAAACCACAAGCCTTCACCTTTTTTTCTAAGAATAAACTCCCTACAGGGGAATACCTCATTTTAATTCGTCAGGCATAAGCCTTTTTGTTCTTTCTTTCTTTGTTTTGGATTTCCATCCAGAAATAATTTATGCACATTCAAGTGGGGAAAAAAACCCTCCAATTCCCCTTTTGCACAAATAGCTGCACACAACAAATATTGTTCTACACCTGGATTTTTCTTTTTTTAGCTTAAACTGTATCTTGAAGACCTTTGTACATAAAAAAAGGCCTGGTAGGAAATAGATGCACACATTTCCTGGTTGCAATCTCAATACCTTGTTCCTATCCAGGGACTTCTTATCACTCCTTTCCTATCCTTTGTGTGTCCCCCAGTGCTCGGAGCCCCACGACAGAGCCTGGCTCATGGCTCCGGGCACTGGGAACAGCAGCACATCAGTGTTGTTGTCTGTCACAGCACAGCTGGCTTGTACACTCAGCCACTGGGGAGAAGGAAAGACTTGTGAGCTCAGGGAGCCTCCTGGAGGCCATGCTGTTAAACATGCCCATAGGTCCTATTCTTTGAGGACCCTGGTGCTGCTTGGAGGTCAGCAGAAAGAGTGCTTCTCCTAACCTGTGAATGGGCACTGCCCATTCCCAGGAAGAGGAAATGGGGGGAGGGGAATGGTGAGCTCTCCACTGCTCTTGAAGGGATCCAGTACGTGGGTCAAAGGAGTACAGCTGTGGCGGCTGTATGGAAATCCTGGACTGGCAAGCAGTCTCCAGACTTCGCTAATCTTATAAATCTGAGCCTATAAGCACAGGCCAGGACTGACCTATCACAAGGGCTGACAGGAAAAGAAATGCCAGCATCCACTGGTCTCTCCTACCTTCGATCATTTCTCCTCCTCCGGAACAGCTTCTTGGTATGTGCAATCTCCACTTCATGGGGCATCGGGTGGTAGCCCTGTGATGTGGGTAGAGAGGGGATATGAATAACTTCTGCAAGAGCAGAGGGGGTGTGAGCCACAATGAACATGACACATCCAAGACAGGAGGACAGGAGAGCTTAGGCTCTGATCGCCAAATCCAGACAGGAAAATAGGAAAACACTAGCCTCAGTGAATTTCCCATCAGGCGAGAGTGCTGGAATCCTAGCCTCAAAGGATGGAGGGGAATCAGAATTCATTATTACACCCTCAAATACAGGTGAGGCTGCTGAGTACAAAGAGCTGGGAGAATTGTTCCATATCTTACAGAGAGGGGATAGCAGGCCCTGTGGCACCCCAATCCAGAACACTACACGTACTCCACAAGGGCTCAATACACAGGGACAGGCTTCCCCTTCCATCTCCAGTTTCCTAACAAAATGAGAATGCCATGACCTTCTGTTGTGGGACTGAGAGGACCAGGAGATGATCCTGATCAGAGGCCAGGCTCTCCTGCACAATTTTACCCAACAGCCTCTTCTCCTTATATTATCTGGGAATTATTTAGGGAAAACATGCAAATTGCTAAATGCTTTTTTAAGTTTCAAGGGAGGGAGTAGGGAAATTCTAAAGATGGTCTTTTGCATATTGTCCTCATGGCAACTACTTCTACATCCACATCAAGGTTGAGAAGAGACCTTCTACTCAGAATGCAGGACCTTGTGTTACTGAAAATTCTGTTCTTTCCATGATCCTACCATCTCCATCCCCCACAGGAAAATGTGCTCTGATGGGGACCTGGCCATTCCACTGGGGAGCCTGAGGTAGAATAGGGGGTTCCTAGGTCTGGTACCTAGGGGTCTGGGGGAGAGGTGACCTGGCTTGGGCCTGGAGACCCAAGTATAGCTCCTGGCACAGAGTCTCAAAGTAAGTGTGACCACCTGCATATCTAGACATAAACAGGGTTAGAAAGAAGCCACAGAGCCCACTCTGCTAGAGAAGGTCAGTGGGCATCCATTTGGCCGCAACCTCAACTTAACAGGCAGAAAGACTGAGGTCCAGGGAGATCATTTAGTGCATGCGTGATGGCAGTTCTGTGGGCTGCAGCCCTGTGCACTGGGGGCCATGGGAGGACCTGACTGGTCTGTCTTCACTGCGCTCAGCCTCCAATCAGGGTGAGAGGTGGGCAACATTTTGATCCTAGCTGTGGTAACAGGGGGAGGACAATAGGTCAGGACCTTGGAGTTACCGCCATTTGGCCCAGACATCTATTGAGTTCAGGGAGGGAAAGACACATTTCAAACTATATTTTAATGAGCATCCTTCCTTCCCACCTCCTGTCTTTCTTGCTTCTAATAATCTAACCAAAAAGGCATGAATGAATTCCGGGCTCCAGGCAGCCACAATGGGTCTCTGGGGACTTTAGGATGTGCTTTGTTTAATGGTTTTCTCAAAGGATATTATTTGTTTTCTTTAATACAAAACGCAAACAAGGAAAACCACCAAGTCTTCCTCTCTCATTTCCCCTGTCCCACCCTGGCCAGGCTCTCAGCTGGCCCCTTTCCCTTATTCTTTCCCTCCCTCCTTCCCTCCTTTTCTCTGCCTCCCTTCCTCCCTCCCAGTCTGCCCAGGTCACTTCAGGAACACATGGGGTGTGCCTCCAGTAGACAATGGACAGGAAGCTCAGGCTCCCTCCCGAGCTGGCAGCAGAATGGGATCTCAGCTCTGGGGCTGCACAGAAGGAGCTGCCCACAGAACTTGGCATAACACAAGTCAGGAGATGCCAGACTCCTCAGTCTGGCCTCACGGTCCTGGGCTCCGAACTACATCCTGGCTTCTTCCCACAATGGCAGTAGCAGTGCAGAGCTGCCCTCTGGACTTGACCTCTTCAGAGATCCTCACCTGCCCCCAGAACTACAGAGAAGATCATACAGCCACAGGGAAAGTGCCCTCTGCTCCTGCCATGTGATCGCCCAGTCCATGACTAGTGAGATGGGGTGGTTTGGTAGATAGGGGCACTTGATGTCAGGAATGACCAATGAGGAGTCTACAAGAAAGGAGTCTCAGTTGCTGCTCCTGGTAGCCTGGCCAGGACAGATGGTACACTGGCTTCAGACTGGAGATGCATCTACTTTTCAGACAGGTGCTACCTCTCTGTCAGAGCATCCTTGAGAATATCCAATGGCCCTGGCTCTTTGCTCAACACAACTCCCTGCTCTGAAAGAGGCCCATGTGGACATCAGTCTAGAGACGAGTTCCTCCCCAGGAGCAAGAACCAGTCTTGGGTTCTCCAAGGTGCCTGTGGTCATCCCGCAGCCCATGTGCCCATGACCCCATCCAGGACTGCCACTAGCCCAACCCGCTCCTCAGTTGTTTTTTTTTTTAAATTGTGAAAATACTGTACAGAGGGGTTACAATTACATGGGCAAGGTAATGAGTACATTTCTTCTCAAGCATTGTTGCCTCCTCCTTTGTTTCCCCTTCCCATCCCTTCCCATCTCCTCCCCCCTCCTCAGCTTCTTTAAGAGAGACCACACTCCTTTTGGCTCTGAGACCTGGTTAAAGTTCTTCCTCCGTCCAACCCTTGACCACTTCCCATAACTAAGCGGGCCCCAGACACAAGTAGATTATAAAGACTGCAGGTAGGGATGGAGGGATGAGAATTCTTCTACATGGGCTGGCAGAGCACATGTGAGACACACATGCACACACATTTACATGTACATATGCATGCACACAGTACTTATGCATGTGTGCACATGCATGCTCTCTCTCCCCCTCTCTCCTTCCAGAGGTCAGTGCAGGTATAAGATACAGCCCCAAGGAGCAACATATTATTGTTTTGGTTGTAAAATCAGTCCAGATACACTGGGCATTCCAAGGAATTAAAGGCAGACCCCAGCAGAGCTCTGGTCCTAGAACTGGCTGGGGTTACAAGGGCCTTGATCCAAGATGACAGCTCTCCCCTCCCCTTCCACATGCATCTGCCTGCCCATGCGATTAGCATTACCCTTTCCATTGTCTGTCTATCCTATGATGGTATGTGTGCACACGGGGGCTTGAACTCAGAGCCTGGGCATCACCCTTCCATTCATGTGTCCATTCTATGATTGTGTGTGTGTGTGTGTGTGTGTGTGTGTATGTGTGTGTTGGTACTGGGGCTTGAACTCAGGGCCTAGGCACTGTCCCTTAGTTTTTTGCTCAAGGCTGGTTGCTCAATCACTTGAGTCAGGGTTTCACTTCTGGCATTTTGGTGGCCAATTGGAGATGAAAGTCTCACAGACATTCCTGCTTGTGCTGGCTTCAATCTGCGATCCTCAGATCTCAGCCTCTTGGAGCAATCATGGTTCTGAGCCATGGATGTCAGGCTCCTGTAATATGTAATCACTATGGATGTGGTGATGAAAAAAAAAGCCAGTACTTACTCTTCTGTAGCACACATTTTAGAGGATGGAGAGCACCAAACAAGCATACAGTATGTGTAATAAGTGACAGCGATTTGCTATGGAACAAAACTAGGCAGGCCAGGGGACGAGAAAAGCAGGGGTAAGGAAGAGGTCAGGAAGACCTCTTATTCTGGGAATAGTGAACATCCATCTATCCATTTCCTTATCCCTTCCTCCATGGTTTTTCTTCACCCAACAGTAGTTGAAGGACTATTATATATATTAGATGGAAAAGACCACAATGAAAAAGACTCCATCCTACTCCTAGAGGGGGGCTCAAGGAACCACAAACAAGGAATCTATTCTATGCCATGGGTTAGAACCAGGGAAGGACCCAGGACACCTCCTTGGAGAGAGTCCAGGAAGACTTTGCCAAGGGGGGGTGATACTAATTTGAACCCTAAGGTATTGATTAGAGGCAGGAGAGTGAGCAAGCCTGGGTTTCAAGAGAGCACTGGCAGTCCTGACAAAAGTATGTCTTGGGGCCCTTTGTAGATACTCTCTTTACCTTGTGCAGTGGTTAGAACTGTATCACCCTACTACAAAAGGTTTCTTACGAGTCCTCATGCTTGGTGCTTTGCATGTGACATTGGGAAAGAGTCTTTGCAAATATAATCAAGTCAAGATGATGTCATGTAAGATTAGCTTGGAGCCTAAATCCAACCAGTGGTGTCACTGTAAGAAAAAAGTTTGGATCCTAAGACCCAGCAGAGGCCGAGGGAAGATGGAGACAGAGTTTGGAGTGATGTAGCTAGAAGCAAGAACTGTCAGAGTCACCAGAAGTAAGGAAAAGGAGCCTAAGAGACCCGGATGGTCCTAGCCCTGGGAACTGAGACACTTCTCTGTGGCTTTGGTCCAGAGAAGTTAGTTTTCTTTCTCACACAATGGCTCTTTAAGAAGGAAAAAAGTGCTAGGCACCAGTGGCTGACACCTTTAACCCTAGCTACTCAAGAGGCTGAGATCTGAAGATCTCAGTGCAAAGTTAGCCCAGGCAGAAAAGTCTGTGAGATTCTTATCTACAATCACCCACTAAAAAGCCAGAAGTGGAACTGGGACTAAAGTGATAAGAACTGCAGTGTTGAGTTCAAGGCCTAGTATGAACTCACACACATACAAGAAAGCCCTAATCCTGCTATGTTAAGCTCCTTCCGATTTCAGACTAGAGCTATAGCACTAAATGCGTGACTTTACTAGTGTGGGCTGGAGAAGACTGAGCAACCCAGCCCAAGCCAAGAGAGTGGCAGCGGTCTTGAGCAAAGAGGTGTCTACACCAGGCTCCTGACCAAGTAAGCTCGGCTCTGTACTCATTGACATATCCATCTACCCCATCACACCTGGAGAGCAACTCTTCCCTCTGCCTTTTGGAAACTTTGTTCATGAGATTTCATATTGACTCTCTCAGGCTCCAGTACCAAGAATGACTATGAAACACATGGAAACCACTGGCTTCCTCCTCTCCTGAATATACCCTGTCCTGGTGTGGAAGGCATCACAGATTGTCTGGCACTAGCGGATAGCCAGTGCCTGCCATGCCCTCTGGGCAAACCATGAGCATCGTGGTGCCAGGATAGATCCTCCTGGCTGAGTCCAGA